TGTGTGTATGTGTGCGTGTGTGTGTGTGTGTTAATTGGGCATCAGGGTAGCCATGGAAAGGTAGATTCATTTTAGGGTGAATTTCGTTGGTGCTAAACAGTGAGGCCCTTTTTTAAGCAATGAAACGTTATATTTCTATACAAATGTAGAATATAATAATATAAATAGATAACTTCCTTCCTACACCATTGTGCCTTAAATGAGCTATTTGCAATAATACCATAATGATTTTATTTCTCTTTTGGAATTTGGTCAAGGGTACAAAATATGTCGCTTTGCTTTTGTTTGCAGTTATTTTGATCACTGACCACAAGCAACGTGTGTGTGTCTGTCCACTGAGCACAACCGCACACTCATACGGGTCAGAGTCAACATGATATTTTCTGCTTCAAATCTTTTCTGTTGCTCAGTTTTCCTTTTTTGTTTTAGAGCATAATCTTGACGCTTCATGGTGCTTTCTTCAAGTACTCCCATATTCCACGGAAGTCAGGCCTTGAACTCCGATTAAAGCAAACAAACAAACAAAACAACAAAGGAGCTCTTTGTTCTCTGGTGTTTCTTGAATAATGGTGCTTTTGTTGCTGATTTCTTTTATTTCTTTTATTTATTTAGTAAGGTTTTGGTTTTGCACGGAGCTCGCAACTGCATTAGGTCATATGAGCGCCAGGGGCTGGATGTCAACAAAGAAGTCTTTACGGGGAATCAGGCTTACTGAAGCTGCTCTGCTCACCTCTCTAGCCTCAACAGCACAAAGTCTGCTTCGATTATCAAGGCACCCCGGAAATAGCAGTTCACAAAAGAGTGACCAACATACAAAAGAAGTAGAGGGAAAATGACGATAGAAAGGATGCAGAAAGAAAAAGCAGCAGTTCCCTCTATGTTTTTCCGCCACAGTATGATGAGCATGACATTGATAAGTCAGCCCATTTACAGTTCTACTGGGCATAAGTTAATATTCCCCCTTTTGAAATGGCCTAAAGACAACTTCAATCAGTAGCACTGCCCTGGGGGGGGGGGTTGTTGACGTCAGCTGGCTGTTATTCCTGATCGTAATCATCGCCAACGACATCATCAGGACATCCACCACTACCACCTTTTTTTGTCTTCGTCGTTGCCAGATCAATTGCAGTTGTTGTCGTCGTCCCATTTCATGTTTAGATATCTATAAAACTTCCTTCTGTTGCTATTGTTACTGCTGCCACTGTTATTATTTAATCTGAATAAGAAGTATATATGCAATAAATCAAAGATGTTTTATCCTGCTTTAAAAAATTATCTCGGAGTTTGTAGCCTTTCCTAGTTTGAGATGTGAGTGGTGTCTGTTTTTTGTTTTGTTCTGCTTTTTGTTTGTTTGTTGTTGTTTTTGTTTGTTTGTCTGTTTTGTTCTCTTTAAATGGGGGCAGGGTAGTGAAGGCAAATAATGCAATGTTGAAGTGCTTGTAGACACTGTTGATGTTTGAAATGGAGTGCTAGCTGGAAAAAAAATTAAGTTTACTACCAGGATCTAAGGAGACGAGGACCCACGTCATCGCTATTACATATTATATTATTGTTTCGTTTTTAAGGCACACCCAGTTACACTCCTGTTCGTCCACGGTGTATTAATTTACATAATAAACCTCATGCATTTTCTTTTAATTAATCCATCTTCCTTCACGGATGTTCCGCTACATATCCATAGGTCTTCTTCCACTTTGCTGTCCCTTTATCGTATCTCAATCTTAGTCTCCTGCTTAAATCAAAAGTTTTATGGCCATTATCATGTTGATTTGCTCCCTGTCTAACTTCAGCACCAAGTCATTTGTCTGCTCAGTCTTTCACGTCATTCATTCTCTCTCTCTCTCTTTCTCTCTCTCTCTCTCTCTCTCTCTCTCTCTCTCTCTCTCTCTCTCTCTCTCGATGGTCCCTACCCTGTTTGCTTACATTGAACTGAAGAGCAAATGGAAGGATAAAAGAAAAAAGAGGGGACTGGGTTACACTAAGAAAAAAGTCTTATGTTTGCACTGTGCTTCAGCAGATCCGCCCCTCACCTATCACTCCTCCGTTTATTATAATGTATAATATAGTATGGGGGGAGCGCAAGGATAGATGAAAGCAAGTTTTTTCTAGAGACTGCTTTCGTCCAGGAGACGTTCGTAGAGCCCTTTATTCTTTATCTACTTTTGGGCTAAGTAATGCTGCTGCTGCTATACCTGTACGTCTTTTGTTTCCGGTTTTAATTAAAAATATTTTACCATGAAAGCCTAACCTGCATATTGTAAGCCCATTTATAAGCAAGTGGCTTTTATAATCACATCACTACACGCTAGTCAAATTTGATTTTATAAGTTCATAAAAATATTTGTACCGTTACAAAATTATATGTACTTTATATAGGGAAAAAATATGTTGGTAAGCCGTGCTCTGTGCATGTCCACCTTTTGTTGTCGCGGCTCAGTTTTATACTTTTCCATCTGTTGTTCAATTTAGAGCTCCTTACAAGCAGATACAAATACACAAGCGTAGTTGTTATTTCTGAGTCGGCCCATTTCATCCTTGAGCGAGCTCTTATTGATCTTGCCCTTTTGTGAGCTAGTTACTCTAAAAACTCAATAAAACTTCCTCGTACGCCGACACATGAGCCACGAACAAACAAATGAGCACTCGAGGTTTTGCACTAAAAGAATAATTATTGCTTCTGATCTTTTGTCTCCTTCCTCTCGGTATACAATCTTGCTTTCTTCAATAAATGTATTCGGTTTCTGCCAAAGTTACTTAGACATGTTTCTGACTCCCTCCCAATTTTACAGAATCTGCTATAGAGGCCTATGATGACCACGGCCTTTCTGGTCAGATTTTAATGAAATAAAAGGGTCTCTTTTATTTAGTCTCTTACATACATTGTAAATGTGAGTCTATGCAAATTGAATAAATAGGCCTGATCGTTTTCATAGGTTGTATTGTTACTTGAGACATTGAGGAAGCGATAGTAGATGAAATTTGTGGGGCATTTACACAGAAAAGAAAAGAAGTTTGGAACAATTTTAATAAT